TATATATATGCATATGTATATATCTATCTATATATATATATATGTATATGTATATATATGTATATATACGTATATATGTGTATTTATATGTATATTGTATATATAATATGTATATAATATATATACATATAATATATATATATATATATGTATAATATATATGTATGTGTTGTGTGTGTGTGTGTATATATATAATATATATATATATATATATATATATATATATATGAATATATATTATATATATATATATATATATATATATATATATATATATATATATATTATATATAGAAGGTACAAAATTGATTTAGTTTTAATTCCATTTCCAACAATGGAAATTTTGCCGCCTGTTTATTTGCTTCTAAATTACCTTTGTGTGAAAATTTAAAAATAACAATGCCTGCCAAAATCTCATTAAAAAACGAAAATGTGCAGTTAGAACACAGGATTTGCAATGAGAATAAGCAGTAGAAATGTAAAAAGAAAAGGCATTGAATTTAAAAAGGATGATATTAGTGAAATTATTATTTATTTATTTTGTATTTATTTTTATTTTTTTTTTTTTTTTTAATCTGCTTAGTCTTTACACGAAAAAACGCACTTTGTGGGAAAGCCTTCACATTTTTTTTTTTTTTTTTTTCTTTTTATAATGGACTCCATATCTTAGATTCGGTTGAAAATAAACGTAGTCTATAAAAGGTATATAAGAGGATAAACATAAGAATGAGAGGATAAACAGTCAAACATTTTATCCAAAAGCTAAGTAAAAAGCAAAATAATAGTAATGATAACAATAGCATAAAATATGATAATGATAAAGTTGATGATGGCGATAAGAATGAATAATAACGAGAATATAATGATGATAGCAATGGCAATCATAGTGATGATTATTGAGGATGGTTGGACAAGGATGGTTGTATCAGCGGCTCCCTTTTTTTTTTTTTTTTTTTTTTTTTTTTTTTTTTTTTTTTTTTGTCTGTGGCCCCCGACCAATATGTAATAATTTCCATGGCCCCATTCAGTGCCTGTCATCTTTTCAGATTCAGTTACTTATTATGAATAGTGTAATGGTGTCAATAGCTATAGGACAAGAACCCTTGATGGAAATAATCCAATTTATTGAATTAGATAATTATATGTTGCTACTATAGGTGAGACAAAATTCAGTTTAAATTGAAGTCATAATATTCATATTGCTCCATGGCCCCCCGGTTGAGAACCCCTGCTTTATAATTTATAATGTTTTATTGGATTCAATAAACGGAATCTTCAAGGCAAACACCAATTTATTGAACCATTCTTAGTGAACAGGGAAAGTCGAACGAAGATAGTAACCAAAGGCAGAGTTTCATTTCCTTCCCAGGTTGGCAGGTTGTCAAGGCAGAAGCAGAGGTTTGGTGACGATCTGCGCAGCCCTGCCAGCGGTCAGCATCCTGTGGAGAACAGCGTCATTAGTTGCGAATCGTACATTTTCGTAAGAACGGAAGAGATACGGGGAGAGAGGGGGTAAAGTGAGGGTGAGAGAAACAGATAGATAGGCGGACGGACGGACAGAGAGACAGGGAGAGAGAAAATGAGAGAAAGAGAGAGGAGGGATAAGGAGAGAGGAGAGGGAGAAGAAAGAGGGATAAGGGGAGAGAGAGAGAAACAAAATAAAACATGACAGACAGACTGAGACACCACTTCGTCGCCAAGGGCATCGCGAGACTCACCGGGGAAGGAGTTGAGAAGGATCGTCCGAATCCTCAGCTTCTGTCCTTAGCCAAAGTATCCAAATCCATAGGGCCTGTGTCCATAGCCGTATCCTCCATATCCTCCATATCCTCCATATCCACCAAATCCACCGAAGCCGCCGCCGAATCCACCCAATCCATGTCCGAAGAAGAATCTCCTGTTGGCCTTGGCGTCGGCCTCGGCCTCGGGTGCGGGAATGGCCAGTGCCAAGGCAGACAGGGCCACGACCACCATCAGGGCCAGAGTGATGCTACGAGCGATCTGGCGATGGAGCGGGGCGTTAGGTGACAGGGAAAGGGGCTGGGAGATGAATAATGCTCTTTGACTCTTATCATTATTTTTTTTTATTTTATTTATATCTATATTTTTTTACGAGGATATTTTTTATGATACATTTTTATATTTTTAAAAATTATTTATTATCTATTTTTTATTATTATTTATTATTTATTTATTTATTATTATTATATTTTTTTTTTTTTTTGTAAATAAGGTTGGTATTCTAGTTTTTTTTTGTGCGTGGTTCGTTTTACATTCTTTCGTTCTTTCTTTTTTTGCAAACAGGGGACGAATTGCTTGTTTTGTATTTGTGTGGCTCGTTGTCCTTGTTGTTTTTCGCAAACAGGTGGTGAGATGCTAATTTGGTGAATGTGAATCACTGTTGTTTGTATGTTGTTTGATTTGTAAAATGGGTCGAATTACGTTTGTGCGTGTGTGTGTAAACAATGGTTTGGGTGTAATTACTTGTTTGTTTCAATATTTTTCTTTATAAACAAGGGTTGAATTGCTAATGTTTTGTGTGATTGCTTGTTAGCTATATGTTTTGTTTTGCTAAACCAACCCATCAAAATGTTTTATTTTTTAATATATCCAAATAAGGTTGTGGGCGATGAAACTTTTAACTTTTTACTTATTTGTCGTTGCTATCTATTCATTCTGCCGTCTACTGAAGTTGTTAATCCTTTTCACCCAAAATCCTGTCACTTTGTCTCCCATTTCTCACCAGTTAATGTCATATAAGATTATAGTTACAGTGATAACATATACATAAAAAGCCGTCCACATATAACAATTACTTTGATATTGTGTCTGAATAAGATTGATACTATCTTCCTTAATCGAAGAAATCATATAGCAAGCTCTGGTTTTCATTCGTATACAAGTTGACTGATTACTATAATCACTTGCACAAACTCTGGCGTAAATATTAAGGATTGTATGTACTGGATTCACGTCGTAATATTTCCAACGTGAAATATTACGACGAAACACAAGTCGGATTTAACTAACGAAATACACCAGTTCATGTACGACCGAAATTTTCGACCTAACTGCCGCTAGAATGCTCGCAAAGGACTTAAAAAGTGCAATCAGGGACTTAGAAAAGTCACACAAGAACAGTATTAATACATTACCATAGTGAGAAGGTCGCGCAGACTGTCACAACGCAAAGAGTAGACTCAATGGGGTGCGCCGATGCAGCTCTTTATATACTATGCCGAGCGCCTCATCAGCTGTGTGGTAACGCGGGAACCCTCGTCCTTGAACAAGTTTTGCGGGCTTTCGCCTAACCCCATCGCATGGTAATGCTACTGCTTGAGTGAGGTCTGATGCAGAGGGTAGTTGGGAGATTGGTTAAGATGAGAGGTTCTATAAAGGAAGCTTTTTTTTCTCCATATTTCTACATATACTCCATACAGTCAGGAAAATAGGATAAATCAGCTAACTATATAATAAAATCATTAATGTAGAAATAAAATAGATAAACAAATGAATATATACGCATTTGTGCATATATGTATGTGTATTTGTGTGTGTGTGTATAAAACATATATATATATACATATATATATTATAATATATTGTATGTATGTATGTATGTATATCGAATACACATATGTAATGTATATACATACATATATAGATGGATAGATATATGTATATGTATAAACATATATGTACACACACACACACACACACACACACACACACACACACACACACACACACATGTATATATATATATATATATATATATATATATATATATATATGTATCTATGTATATATATATGCATATGTATCTATCTATCTATATATATACATATATATATGTATATTATATATATATGTGTTGTATATATGTGTTTTATATGTATATATAAGTATATAATATATTATACATATATATGTATATATGATATATATACATATATATGTGTGTGTGTGTATGTAATATATATATATAAATATATATATGAATATATATATATATATATATATATATGTGTGTATATATATATATATGTGTGTGTATATATATATATATATATATATATATATATATATTAAGAGAGGTACAAAATTGATTTAGTTTTAATTCCATTTCCAACTATGGAAAATCTTTGCCGCCTGTTTATTTTGCTATTAAATTACGCTTTGTGTGAAAAATCTAAAAATAACAATGCTGCCAAACTCTCATTAAAAAACGGAAATGTGTAGTTAGAACACAGGATTTCCAATAAGAATAAATAGTATAAATGTAAAAAGAAAAGGCATTGAATTTAAAAAGGATGATATTAGTGAAATTATTATTATTATTATTTAATCTGCTTAGTCTTTACACGAAAAAACGCACTTTGCGAAAGCCTTCACATTTTCTTCTCTTTTTTTTAATGGACCATATTTTAGATTCGGTTGAAAATAAACGTAGTCTATAAAAGGTATATAAGAGAATAAACAAGAATAAGAGGATAAACAGTCAAACACTTTATTCAAAAGCTAAGTAAAAAGCAAAATAATAGTAATGATAACAATAGTAATACGAATATGATAATGATAAAGTTGATTATGGCGATACGAATGAATAATAACGAGAATATAAGGATGATAACAATGGCAATCATAGTGATTATTAAGGATGGTTGGACAAGGGACTAATCAGTTTGTATCAGCGGCTCCTTTTTTTTTTTTTTTTTGTGTCCCCCATCCAATATGTAATAATTTCCATGGCCCCATTCAGTGTCTGTCATCTCACATTTAGTTACTTATTATGAATAGTGTAATGGTGTCAATAGCTATAGGACAAGAACCCTTGATGGAAATAATCCAATTTATTAATATGTGTTGCTACTATAGGTGAGACAAAATTCAGTTTAAATTGAAGTCATAATATTCATATTGCTCCATGGACCCCCGGTTGAGAACCCCTGCTTTATAATGGTTTTATAATGTTTTATTGGATTCAATAAAACGGAATCTTCAAGGCAAACACCAATTTATTGAACCATTCTTAGTGAACAGGTAAAGTCGAACGAAGATAGTAACCAAAGGCAGAGTTTCATTTCCTTCCCAGGTTGGCAGGTTGTCAAGGCAGAAGCAGAGGTTTGGTGACGATCTGCGCAGCCCTGCCAGCGGTCAGCATCCTGTGGAGAATAGCGTCATTACCTGCGAATCGTACATTTTCGTAAGAACGGAAGAGATACGGGAGAGAGGGGTAAAGTGAGGGTGAGAGAAACAAATACATAGGCGGACGGAACAGAGAGACAGGGAGAGAGAAAAGGAGAGAAGAGAGAGGGATAAGGAAAGATGGAGAGGAAGATAGAGAAAGAGAGGAAATGAGGAGAGAGAGAAACAAATAAAACATGACAGACAGACTGAGACACACCTCGTCGCCAAGGGCATCGCGAGACTCACGGGGAAGGAGAGAAGGATCGTCCGAATCCTCAGCTTCTGTCCTTAGCCAAAGTGTCCAAATCCATAGGCCTGTGTCCATAGCCGTATCCTCCATATCCTACATATCCTCCATATCCTCCATATCCACCAAATCCACCGAAGCCGCCGCCGAATCCACCCAATCCATGTCCGAAGAAGAATCTCCTGTTGGCCTTGGCGTCGGCCTCGGCCTCGGGTGCGGGAATGGCCAGTGCCAAGGCAGACAGGGCCACGACCACCATCAGGGCCAAAGTGATGCTACGAGCGATCTGGCGATGGAGCGGGGCGTTAGGTGACAGGAAAGGGCTGGGAGATGAATAATGCTCTTACTATATATATATATATATATATATATTATATATTATATATAATATATTATATATATATATATCAACGAGGAGTGATTTTTTTATGATACTTTTTTATTAATTTATTTATTTTTTATTTATTTATTTTATCATTTTGTTTATTTATTTATTTTATTATTATTATATATTTTTTTTGTAAATGAGGTTGGTATTCTAGTTTTGTTTTTGTGCGTGGTTCGTTTTACATTCTTTCGTTCTTTCTTTTTTTGTAAACAGGGGATGAATTGCTTGTTTTGTATTGTGTGTGGTCCGTTGTCCTTGTTGTTTTTCGCAAACAGGTGGTGAGATGCTAATTTGGTGTATGTCAATCACTTTTGTATGTTTGCTTTGTAAAATGGGGTCGAAATTACTAGTTTTGTGCGTATGTGTGTAGTGTAAACAATGGGTTTGGGGTGTAATTGTTTCTTCATATTTTTTCTTTGTAAACAAGGGTTGAATTGCTAATATTTTGTGCGATTGCTTGTTAGCTATTGTTTTGTTTTGCTAAACAACCCATCGAAATGTTTTATTTTTTAATATATCCAAATAAGGTTGTGGGCGATGAAACTTTTTACTTATTTGTCGTTGCTATCTATTCATTCTGCCGTCTACTGAAGTTAATCCTTTTCACCCAAAATCCTGTCATTTGTCTGCCATTCTCACCAGTTTAATGTCATATAAGATTATAGTTACAGTGATAACATACATAAAAAGCCGTCCACATCTAACAATTTACTTTGATATTGTGTCTGAATAAGATTGATACTATCTTCCTTAATCGAAGAAATCATATAGCAAGCTCTGGATTTCATTCGTATACAATAGAAGTTGACATTGATTACTATAATCACTTCCACAAACTCTGGCGCAAATATTAATGCTGATTTCGGGATAATAACTAAAAGGATTGTATGTACTGGATTCACGTCGTAATATTTCCAACGTGAAATATTACGACGAAACACAAGTCGGATTTAACTGACGAAATACACCAGTTCATGTACGACCGAAATTTTCGACAAACCGCTAGAGTGCTCGCAAAGGACTTAAAAAGCGCAATTAGGACTTAGAAGAGTCACACAAGAATAGTATTAATACATTACCATAGTGAGAAGGTCGCGCAGACTGTAACAACGCAAAGAGTAGACTCAATGGGTGCGCCGATGCAGCTCTTTATATACTATGCCGAGCGCCTCCTCAGCCGTGGGTAAAGCGGGGAACCTCGTCCTTGAACAAGTTTTTGCGGGCTTTCCGCCTAGAACCCCATCGCATGGTAATGCTAGTGCTTGAATGAGGTCTGATGCAGAGGGTAGTTGGTAGATTGGTTAAGATGAGAGGTTCTATAAAGGGAAGCTGTTTTTTCTCCATATTTCTACATATACCTCCATACAGTCAGAGAAAAATAGGATAAATCAGCTAACTATATTAATAAAATCAATTAATGTAAATAAACAGTAAACAAATGAATATGTACGCATGTGTGTATATTGATGTGTATGTATGTGTATGTGTGTGTGTGTTGTGTGTGTGTGTGTATAAACATATAAATATACATATATATATATATATATATAATATATATATATACATATATATTATGTATTATATGTATGTATGTATGTATATATCGAATACACATATGTGATGTATATACATACTTATATAGGGATTAGATTATGTTATGTATAAACATATATGTATATAATACAACACAACTCACACCACATACACATACACTCACACACACACACACCACACACACACACACACACACACACACACACACACACACACACACACACACACATATTATATATATGTTATATATATATATGCATATATAGGTTTATATATATATATATATATATATATATATATATTATACGCATATGTATATATCTATCTGTCATCTATATATACATATATATATGTAATATATTTGTATATATGTATTTATATGTATATATATGTATATAAATTATATACAATATATATACATATATATATATACATATATATATATATTATATATATTAAATGTGTGTGTGTGTATGTATATATAATATATATACATATATGAATATATATACATATATATATATATATATATTATATATATATATATTATATAAAGAGAGAGTACAAAATTGATTTAGTTTTAATTCCATTTCCAACAATGGAAAAATCTTTGCCGCTGTTTATTTTGCTTCTAAAATTACCCTTTTTGTGAAACAATCTAAATATAACAATGCCTGTCAACTCTCATTAAAAAACGAAAAAGTCTAGTTAGAACACAGGATTTTGCAATGAGAATAAGCAGTAGAAATGTAAAAAGAGAAAGGCATTGAATTTTAAAAAGGATGATATTAAAGAAGAATTATTATATTAATTTATCTGCTTAGTCTTTACACGAAAAAAACGCACTTTCTGGGAAAGCCTTTCACATTTTTTTCTTTTTTTATAATGGACTCCATATCTTAGATTCGGTTGAAAATAAACGTAGTCTATAAAAGGTATATAAGAGGATAAACATAAGAATAAGAGGATAAACAGTCAAACACTTTATTCAAAAGCTAAGTAAAAAGCAAAATAATAGTAATGATAACAATAGTAATACGAATATGATAATGATAAAGCTGATGATGGCGATAAGAATGAATAATAACGAGAATATAATGATGATAGCAATGGCAATCATAGTGATGATTATTGAGGATGGTTGGACAAGGATGGTTGTATCAGCGGCTCCCTTTTTTTTTTTTTTTTTTTTTTTTTTTTTTTTTTTGTCTGTGGCCCCGACCAATATGTAATAATTCCATGGCCGTTCAGTGCCTGTCATCTTTTCAGATTCGGTTACTTATTATGAATAGTGTAATGGTGTCAATAGCTATAGGATAAGAACCCTTGATAGAAATAATCCAATTTATTGATATGTGATGTTGTTGCTACTATAGGTGAGACAAAATTCAGTTTAAATTGAAGTCATAATATTCATATTGCTCCATGGCCCCCGGTTGAGAACCCTGCTTTATAGTGAAAGGTAATTGGATTTAATAAAACGGAATCTTCAAGGCAAACACCAATTTATTGAACCATTCTTAGTGAACAGGTAAAGTCGAACGAAGATAGTAACCAAAGGCAGTTTCATTTCCTTCCCAGGTTGACGGGTTGTCAAGGCAGAAGCAGAGGTTTGGTGACGATCTGCGCAGCCCTGCCAGCGGTCAGCATCCTGTGGAGAACAGCGTCATTAGCTGCGAATCGTACATTTTCGTAAGAACGGAAGAGATACGGGGAGAGAGGGGGTAAAGTGAGGGTGAGAGAAACAGATACATAGGCGGACGGACGGACAGAGAGACAGGGAGAGAGAAAATGAGAGAAAGAGAGAGGAGGGATAAGGAGAGAGGGAGAGGGAGATAGAGAAAAAAGAGGGATAAGGGGAGAGAGAGAGAAACAAAATAAAACATGACAGACAGACTGAGACACCACTTCGTCGCCAAGGGCATCGCGAGACTCACCGGGGAAGGAGTTGAGAAGGATCGTCCGAATCCTCAGCTTCTGTCCTTAGCCAAAGTATCCAAATCCATAGGGCCTGTGTCCATAGCCGTATCCTCCATATCCTCCATATCCTCCATATCCTCCATATCCACCAAATCCACCGAAGCCGCCGCCGAATCCACCCAATCCATGTCCGAAGAAGAATCTCCTGTTGGCCTTGGCGTCGGCCTCGGCCTCGGGTGCGGGAATGGCCAGTGCCAAGGCAGACAGGGCCACGACCACCATCAGGGCCAGAGTGATGCTACGAGCGATCTGGCGATGGAGCGGGGCGTTAGGTGACAGGGAAAGGGGCTGGGAGATGAATAATGCTCTTTTACTATTATTATTTCTATTTTTATTTATATCTATATTTTTTTTACGAGGAGTGATATTTTTTATGATACATTTTTATATTTTTAAAAATTATTTATTATCTATTTTTTATTTATTTATTTATTATTATTTATTTTATTTTATTATTTTTTTTTATTTTTTTTTTTTGTTGTAAATAAGGTTGGTATTCTAGTTTTGTTTTTGTGCGTGGTTCGTTTTACATTCTTTCGTTCTTTCTTTTTTTGCAAACAGGGGACGAATTGCTTGTTTTGTATTTGTGTGGCTCGTTGTCCTTGTTGTTTTTCGCAAACAGGTGGTGAGATGCTAATTTGGTGAATGTGAATCACTGTTGTTTGTATGTTTGATTTGTAAAATGGGGTCGAATTACGTTTGTGTGCGTGTGTGTGTAAACAATTGGTTTGGGTGTAATTACTTGTTTGTTTCATATTTTTTCTTTGTAAACAAGGGTTGAATTGCTAATGTTTTGTGTGATTGCTTGTTAGCTATATGTTTTGTTTTGCTAAACCAACCCATCAAAATGTTTGATTTTTTTAAATATCCAAATAAGGTTTTAGGCGATGAAACTTTTAACTTTTTACTTATTTGTCGTTGCTATCTATTCATTCTGCCGTCTACTGTGAAGTTGTTAATCCTTTTCACCCAAAATCCTGTCACTTTCTCTCCCATTCTCACCAGTTTGGTGTCATATAAGATTATAGTTACAGTCATAACATATACTCAAAAAGCCGTCTACATATAACAATTACCTTGATATGGTGTCTGAATAAGATTGATACTGTCTTCCTTAATCGAAGAAATCATATAGCAAGCTCTGGTTTTCATTCGTATAAAATATAAGTTGACATTGATTATTATAATCACTTCCACAAACTCTGGCGCAAATATTAATGCTGATTTCGGGATAATAACTAAAAGGATTGTATGTACTGGATTCACGTCGTAATATTTCCAACGTGAAATATTACGACGAAACACAAGTCGGATTTAACTAACGAAATACACCAGTTCATGTACGACCGAAATTTTCGACCAAACTGCCGCTAGAGTGCTCACAAAGGACTTAAAAAGTGCAATCAGGACTTAGAAGAGTCACACAAGAACAGTATTAATACATTACCATAGTGAGAAGGTCGCGCAGACTGTCACAACGCAAAGAGTAGACTCAATGGGGTGCGCCGATGCAGCTCTTTATATACTATGCCGAGCGCCTCCTCAGCCGTGGGGTAAAGCGGGGAACCCTCGTCCTTGAACAACTTTTTAGGGGGCTTTCCGCCTAGAACCCATCGCATGGTAATGCTAGTGCTTGAGTGAGGTCTGATGTAGAGGGTAGTTGATAGATTGGTTAAGATGAGAGGTTCTATAAAGGGAAGCTGTTTTTTCTCCATATTTCTACATATACCTCCATACAGTCAAGGAAAAATAGGATAAATCAGCTAACTATATTAATAAAATCAATTAATGTAGAAATGAAATAGATAAACAAATGAATATATACGCATTTGTGTATATATGTATGTGTATTTGTGTGTGTGTGTGTATAAACATATATATATATACATATATATATATGTATGTATGTATTTATATATATATTATATATATCGAATACACTTATGTAATGTATATACATACATATATAGATGGATAGATATATGTATATGTATAAAAATATATGTATATACACACACACACTCACACACACACACACACCACACACAACACACACACACACACACACATATATATGTATATATAGGTATATATATGCATATGTATATATCTATCTGTCTATCTTCATATATATGTATAATGTATATGTATATATATTGTATATATATGTATATATGTGTATTTATATGTATATATGTATATAAATATATATACATATATATATGTGTGTGTGTGTGTAATATATATATATATATATATATATATGTATATATATATGAATATATATATACATATATATATATATATATATATTATATATATTTATATATAAAGGTACAAAATTTATTTAGTTTTAATTCCATTTCCAAAATGGAAATTCTTTTCTGCCTGTTTATTTCGCTTGTAAATTACCCTTTGTGTGAAAAATTTAAATATAGCAATGCCTACCAAATATTAAAAAACGAAAATGTGTAGTTAGAACACAGGATTTCCAATGAGAATAAGCAGTAGAAATGTAAAAAGAAAAGGCATTGAATTTAAAAAGGATGATATTAAAGAAATTATTATTATTATTTTTTTTAATCTGCTTAGTCTTTACACGAAAAAACGCACTTTGCGGGAAAGCCTTCTTCACATTTTCTTCTCTTTTTTTTAATGGACCATATCTTAGATTCGGTTGAAAATAAACGTAGTCTATAAAAGGTATATAAGAGGATAAACAGTCAAACATTTTATCCAAAAGCTAAGTAAAAAGCAAAATAATAGTAATGATAACAATAGCAATACGAATATGATAATGATAAAGTTGATGATGGCGAGAAGAAAATGAAATAACGAGAATATAATGATGATAGCAATGGCAATCATGGTGATGATTATTGAGGATGGTTTGGACAAGGATGGTTGTATCAGCGGCTCCCTTTTTTTTTTTTTTTTTTTTTCTTTTTTTTTTTTTTTTTTTTTTTGTCTGTGGCCCCGACCAATATGTAATAATTTCCATGGCCCCATTCAGTGTCTGTCATCTCAGATTTAGTTACTTATTATGAATAGTGTAATGGTGTCAATAGCTATAGGACAAGAACCCTTGATGGAAATAATCCAATTTATTAATATGTGTTGCTACTATAGGTGAGACAAAATTCAGTTTAAATTGAAGTCATAATATTCATATTGCTCCATGGCCCCCCGGTTGAGAACCCCTGCTTTATAATGGTTTTATAATGTTTTATTGGATTCAATAAAACGGAATCTTCAAGGCAAACACCAATTTATTGAACCATTCTTAGTGAACAGGTAAAGTCGAACGAAGATAGTAAATAAAGGCAGAGTTTCATTTCCTTCCCAGGTTGGCAGGTTGTCAAGGCAGAAGCAGAGGTTTGGTGACGATCTGCGCAGCCCTGCCAGCGGTCAGCATCCTGTGGAGAACAGCGTCATTAGTTGCGAATCGTACATTTTCGTAAGAACGGAAGAGATACGGGGAGAGAGGGGTAAAGTGAGGGTGAGAGAAACAGATAGATAGGCGGACGGACGGACAGAGAGACAGGGAGAGAGAAAAGGAGAGAAAGAGAGAGGAGGGATAAGGAGAGAGGAAGATAGAGAAAGAGGAGGGATAAGGGAGAGAGAGAGAGAAAGAGAAACAAAATAAAACATGACAGACAGACTGAGACACCACTTCGTCGCCAAGGGCATCGCGAGACTCACCGGGAAAGGAGTTGAGGATCGTCCGAATCCTCAGCTTCTGTCCTTAGCCAAAGTGTCCAAATCCATAGGGCCTGTATCCAAAGCCGTATCCATGTCCGTATCCTCCATAACCACCATATCCACCAAATCCACCGAAGCCGCCGCCGAATCCACCCAATCCATGTCCGAAGAAGAATCTCCTGTTGGCCTTGGCGTCGGCCTCGGCCTCGGGTGCGGGAATGGCCAGTGCCAAGGCAGACAGGGCCACGACCACCATCAGGGCCAGAGTGATGCTACGAGCGATCTGGCGATGGAGCGGGGCGTTAGGTGACAGGTAAGGGCTGGAGATGAATAATGCTCCTACTATTATTATATTTTTATTTTATTTATATATATATTTTTTTTTTTTCAACGAGGAGTGATATTTTTTGATACATTTTTTATTTATTTATTTATTGTAAATAAGG